ATAAGGCCTCCGGCCACCACTTAGCAGCCATATTGGCACCCATTAATGCACAGCGGACCCCGGTCATCATGGTCTGGTGAGACCTCTCTGCACTACCGTTTTCTTCTTGAGATTCTACATTTGAACTCTGAAATACTAATCCGAGTTTTAAACACAGTTTAGATACCTTTTCATTTATAAATTCTGAGCGTCCGTCAGTCCTAATTAGTCGTACCTGAAAAGACGGAAATTGGACTGACAATTGTTTTAACCCCCCCCCCCGTTACTAAGGCTTGATAAGGAAGCTTGTCTCAAAAACCCACATGTTTGATATTAAGCATGTGGGAAATGTGGGAAAAGGTCCATTTGTATTTCTTACGACCTTGTTGCACAGGGTTGGGTAGATTTCGTCAGATAGAAAGTTCTGTGGATACACTACTTTGGGACATGCCTGGTCCGTGTTTGTGGCTGCCATCCACTCATTCTCGAACTCGCCACTGTCATACGCAAGCCACTAAGCCGCAACAAAAATGGCTACACCGCGTCGCGTTACGCGCCGCGACGCAGAGGTTTTCATGCGACGCCTGAGCGGCTACGACGGCGAGAAGAGGGGTCGCCTAGTGCGTGAACACCGCGACTACATCGCAGGAGCACGAGACCGAGATGCAGACTTCGGGGACGACGACGGAGCCTCATTGCCAGCACCGCCGCCGCCGCCTACAACCGGTAGACGCCCACGCATGATTGTCCCAAGTCAGTGCCTCGGGCCTCCGCACAAATTGTTGTCTTCAAGTCGGTCCCGCAGCTCAGCGCTTTGGTTTGGCTCGACAACACGATAGTCTACATGCTGGCTTGCGGGGCCAGCACCTCGATGTCAACTTGCGGTACGTATTGTGTATTGTAATAGTGTGTGTATCTACCCTTGTTTTGTATCGTTTGTGATAGAGCGTCGGATTCCTCGCAGCCAAGGTCAGAAAGAATCGGTCCCCTGCCCGTCCAGCATGAAGGCATATCACCGCTGGATGGGTGGGGTGGACGTACACGACCAGCTGCGGCTGCAGCGCTACTCGCTGCAGCTCTCCTTGCGCTTCCACAAGTACTACAAAAGTCTGGCATTTGGTCTATTTGATATCGCTTTTGTGAATAGCTTTATCGTATTTCGCGAAACAAGGAACATGGGAGGCGAACCCGCCGCTGACCACGCAGGCTTCATTTACCAGCCCCACGCGTAGTTACTGGACATGGGCCCAACTGATTTAGCGAACACGGTACGACTACCGAAGCGTTTATTTTGGGTTTATTCTAATTTCCTACTGTTTGGTCTATTGTAGATGTTCTCACCGGGACATGTGACACACTCGTGGCTTGCAGAGGAGTGCTCGGGTCCGGAAGTTCTTGCTTGAGAGAGACTTGCGGAGTTGGTAGTAACATTGAGAATGCATTAAATGTTTTATCTTGCTGTTGTGCACTAGAGCTTGCTTCGTGGTAGTCACACTGCTTCTCCATCACTCTAGTCAGTAAAGTGCGTAGAATATTCCCTGCTGCTAGAGCAGGATTTCCCCTAGGAATCCTCTTCGTGCACATTGGCGTGTCACCTGTGACTCCAAGTCGAGGTGACGCCACAAGATCCGAAGGCCACAGCTTGGCCATGGACGAGGAGTGGGTGGAGGTGAACGGTATTCGGAAGCGCCGCCAGCGACAGTGTAAGGTGTGTACAATTCGCAATACAGTGAGCAGGTCACGCGGTTCTTTTGTTCAGGGTGCAATAAGGGGAACAAGATGTAAGCCTAGAAATGCATTGATTCTTCATCACTTACTAGTAGCTATTGCAGGTTGTACTTGTGTGATAAAGTGCGCCAGGGTCATTACCCGGGCAACACGCGGACATGCTACGCGATCTGGCACGACCTCTGGAGGATTGGTCGCGATCGCCCTAAGCCTCGCTTCAATCGCGGCATTCAAATGAGGCCACCGGGGAAGAAAGCAGGTAGCGCTGGTGACGCTTCGACGGAAGGTGGTGCTGCAAGTGAAGGTGAGACCGTCGGCGATGATGATGGAAGTAGCGATGGTGACACCACTCCCGAGTAGGCACATGATGTGCAATCAGCTGCTAGTGTTTGTTCTGCATTACTTTTGCACTTCAATACAAGACGTTCGCAGTATTCTTTGCACTCGATTTAGCTAAAGAAAGACTCACCTTGTAAAAAGGCCAATTCGTTTTGCCCTATATCTAGCATGCAGCTATAGACCACGTCAGAACAAACTCGATAGGAAGCGTGTGGCCACATGGACAGTGATAAAGGATGGCTTTGTACTGAGAGGCGGATATGGTTCATTTTTTACCACATACAAACTCCTTGTTTTCACTAGTCTTTAACATGCTTGATATCAAGCATGAGGTTAGTGGGTGTGTATTTACGATTTGCTCTCGTAACGGGGGGGGTGCAGGATTTTATTTTACCCGGTACCTCTTTTAGTGACTTGACTACATTTTACCACTTATAGGCAGCTGCATCATCGACAATTGCTAACGCATAGTGATAGCCAAACGACCCGTATAGACCGTTTACGCTTGTCCTTCCGGTTGAGTCCATATGCAACGTATGCAGAGGCTCAGTAGCCTTGTTTCCGATCATATTTCTATATGACATCCTGTGGTCCTTCATGTGGGCACATGTATTACAAAAGAAGGGTACTTTAATGAGTTCAGAGTAGGGAATATTAGGCAACCCCTCAATTTTCCGGTTACTCATACTCCTAATTAGCCTCTCTTTAATGACATGACCTAATCGTAAGTGCCATTCTTTGAGGATATCACCCAATTTTCCACTTTGAGCTAAACGCACTTCGTCACCTTTTGCTACTGTTGTGAAGAGAAGTTTACTGTCTTTTCCTAAAAAGAACAAAACCTTTCCTGACTTTGCTTGGATGTGACTGTAAGATTGTTTAGCCAGATAGAATGCACCCAGCAAATTGCTATCGCACTTTTGGTCAAATGATATATCGGTAAATGTTACAGAACTCAACCTCCTATTAAAGTTTAAACATGGAGTTTTGTTGATCCCTTAAGTGTACTGTGAGAGGTGGATCCATTACCGTAGGTGAATGTGTGGCTTTGGCCAGGTTGGAGGCCTGTTTCTACCTGGTGCTATAGAGCGACCTGCTCGTATCAACCACCCACATATCATCCGTTAGAGTAAGCCTTTCCAACTAAGAGGCATAACGTCTACTTACCTCTGCTTCAATGCCATCCATAGTTCGAGGCGACAGGGGCGGTGTCTTTGCTGACTTGCCGCAATCCTCAAAACCCTCATTGTGCGCTATGTCCAAACTCTCAATGTCGTCCATGTCCTCATCTTCAGCACACTTCCCCAAAAGGTATTTTCACTCCCAGGAAGTTACTGTCAACAATGTGCGGGTCAAGCAGGGTGCAAAGCGAAACCCCAGTGGAAACGAGGGTGAGAGAAGTTGTTTCTACTGCTTCAAAACTGGCCACTTCAAGCTGGAATGTCCTACCAAGTTGGCCGACAGAGACCCAAATCAAGAAGGTGGACCCCTATTTAGGACTGACGTCAACACTACGCCGGGGGCTAAGAAGGCTAAAAGCCAAGACAACTGCGTTTAACACTATTAAGGCTTTCGCAAGTAAAGGTATGGAGCGCCTAAGTCCCGCCTCTTTCTTCGATGTGTCCTTAAAAATCCGGCGCAGCGAGCTTTCCACCTGATCCACGGTAAAATCCTCCTTTTTCATTGAAATTGAGGATGCCCAAAACTCACTGGGCAGCTGAGACAGCACTTCAACGCAAAGCCACGACTCTGTCACCAAGTCCTGCCCCAAAAGCTTGCGAGACCTCCTATTAATCTCTTTTTTTTGCCTTCTTAAGTTGCGCGAACAAAGTTCTTAGGTCGCTCCAAGGCGTGCGTGCCAATTTAGACCAGGATCCCGTTAACTCAATGAGGCCGCTGTACCTCCTTGCCCAAAATACTTTTCGAGGAGTCGAATAACCTCACATGGATCCATTGAGGAAACCACATCCGGTAGGCTTGACAAAAAGAAGCTAGGAAGAACCTGATTCAACAGGTTCTGAAGATCTCCCTTGCCCGTGTCCAATGCATCACATCACACCGCATTGCGAACGCCTCTTCTGTGGCGGTTTCGGTGGTCGGCGACGTCGGATTTTCGGGGTTGCTTCTGAGGAAGTCAGCCATATGCACCTTCGCTTGGGGGTGCCTCTTCTCAAGCTGCTTCGTTTAGTACACGTGGCCTAATTGGTTGGCGTGCGTTAGTAGCTTGTCCTTCCACATTATGTAGGACTTGCCGTTAAACTTCTCGAGACCGCCACCAGACCTCGCATCGGTAGCCATCGTACTTGAAATGTTGTGTCGGACGAGTAGCTGTAGTTGTTGCAATGCCGTCAGTATTTGGAAAGTGAGATGGCACACGCTACCTCTCCGTAACATCCCTCGGCTTTCCCTTTTAATGGCCAATGCTGGCCTCTTTCCTTTGGCTGGCTGTTAGCGCATCTACTGTCTTAGCCAATAAGCGCTGGTTTACATTTCATTTAGCCTATCCTATTACTTCAATTGGTAGCATACAAAGTAATCTATACTATGGCACAACACAACCCCCCGCGGTCCTCGACGCGCATCACACTAAACACATACTGCGGCTCTGGCTCTACTTCAACAGGTGTAGTGTGCGCTCTGACACACGGCAGTGTATAATGATGCTGTAAGATGCTATACCGAGCCGCCAAGCTCGCAGAAAATACATATGCTGGTTCTAGAAGTGCAACTGGCATGCTACATGGTCACCCACCCAAATATACGCCTACGAACGCTGTGAGAAAGCATGTAAAGTGTCCTTGGCATTTCTTCATGCTTTGCGGAAGTACGGAGCACCCTCCGTACGTGCACAGCGTCTTCCGCTGACCTTCACGGCTGCATGCAGCGAGTCATTGGCAGGGTGGAGAAATGAATGAAAATGCCATCCATTTCGATCCTGACCGGTGCAAACGTCGTCATCCTGGTGCGATGGACGGGGTCTGTGTTCTTAACCGTGATGGCGATCTGCTCCGAGTCGTGCAGCTGCTCCATCCTCACTAACAACACCGTCTTGAGTCCATAATGGTCGGCCACACTGGCATACGCGAGCACCACAAACTTGTCGTGCTCTGATTTCTGAGGGAACACGACGAGATCGTCCCCTAGCGCTCTCAGGAATTGCTGTTGAAAGCTCGTAGCATCGGCAACTTCTGCCTCTGTGTCGTGTGTCCGGGGCGTTCTGTCGCCTTTAGAAGCAGCTTTACGCGTGTACTTGGTGAAGGTGCAGCTGGAACTCACTTGCTGCGTGGCGTTTATCCATAGCTGCTCGAACAGCGCGACGGCCATCCAGGGATGCTCAATACGCTCGATCTCTACAGCCACGTCTTCCTCCTCGTCCAGCGTCCAGTTACTCTCGCGACGCCGCATCATGGTGTTGCGCACAGCTGTACCAAAATAAGGATACAGTTACTTGGTCACAATCTCCTGGGCGCTACCAAGCACGGGAAGAAGTACAAACGGCGGCAGTAGTTGGAGACGGATGTGGGGAGCAAGACGATGGAGGAAATGGCGGTGCTGCAGGCTCCAGGAGGGCGACGAAGAGCGTGCCAAGTGGACCAGTTCGCCGTCGGTGTAAAGGGGCGGCAGCTGCGTCTTTTCAGCGCAGAAGGTGCGTCGCATACAAACTCCCATACAAAAGCCGTTAGTCCACTCTCACTCCGGAATTCGCCAAGCAAGCCATGGCTCCGCGCTCCAGTGCTTGTCGCCGCGTACTAGCCGTACTGTGACGGGGTCACACAGCACCTTGCGCTAGAGGAAGTTATCTTCCGAGAGTATACAAACTCTCAGTGAACGGCAGTTCACAGGTCCCCTCTTTAATTAAAGAGAGCGAAGTGACCTAAATAAGGTAGATTGTAAACTGCGTATATTTATAGGTAGGTTAAGTTTGAGGTTAATACAAACTATCAGTTACCTATAGAAATGCAATGTCATTTAACCAATGGTTGGTTTTGAATGACCTTGGTACCTTGTACCAAATATCCCGGAGTATGACATGTCATACTCCTGAAGTGTGAAGTGTCACACTTCATGTAACCAGGGTACACTTAGTGCTCGTACCCCGTTACATCCTCCCCCACTTAGGTTCGGTTTACCGACCAATCAGAATGAAGAGATGTTCGTCACAAACTCTCATTCTCAAAGTCGAAAACCATCGACTCGGCCGCGCGAGCGCGGCGGAGGCTCACTTTACAGTTAGAGCCTCGAGCAGCAACCTGTGCGCTCTTCGTCAAGGTCTCCACTTCGACCGTTAACATGCCTCGTGGCACTGCTAAGAGCGGTGCTAAGACACGCTCCAAGGCTGCAGCCGGTAAGGCGCAGGCCAAGAGCACTAAGCCTCACGGCAAAGGCTCTGCACTTAAGGAGGCTACTCAGGTGGCCTCCGAGGCGATCGGATCCTCGGGTGACGCGGCTGCGGACAAGCGCGCAAGCAGGCGCCGCAGTCCGTCGCCGCCGTCTTCAGACAATCGTCCGAACCCTCGGTTCGTAGAACGTGAGTTCAACTCGGGCAGTGAGGACGATGCCGAGTCCGAGAGCACTCATGATGCTCCTGCGGGCTCTGTGGGAGGGCACAGCCCAGTGCCCAGTGAGCACAAAGAAGACAGCGTGCAGTCGTCCGCTAGTGATCACGGTGATCACAGTCCCAGGACCTCTGTGCGCTCTGAGAGTCCGGCCGTTAAGGCTAAGGGCACTCCCAAAGCCGGTGGCGATGAGGAAGGGAGTCCTCGCAAACGTCTCTCGCTTGCCGAGGGTCTTGCGCGCGGTAAGGCCTCTAAAGCCGAAGGCGCCAAGCCCTCAAAGAAGCGTACCGCCTCTAAGTCTCCACTCCGCGAGGAGAAGGAGACTCGACGCTCCTATCAGAGTCTCTTCGGCTCCTCGGATGAAGAGGAGGAGAAGGAGGAAGAAGAGGAAGAGGAGGGTGCCATTGTTGAGCCCCGGGAGGTCTCGAATGACCTCGACCAGCAGCAGGAGGATTTCCAAGCTGCCCAGCGTGTGCGTGGGGGTTCGGTGGCGGCACCCGTCAGCCAGGGAGCTGCCATCAACTCAAGAGGGTATTGGCCTCCCGAGGAGAGCTCTGGGGCCGACCTCTTCTTAGAGCTTCTCGTCGCTCCTCGTGGCCTTGTGGGCGGCCACACTTCTAGGGGCATCTATGAACGAGCCCTTGTTCAGAAAGAACAGTTGTTCGTCGACAACGTGGAGGCTGCTCGGTGTGTGCTTCTCGCGCCACACCGCATTCCCCTTAAGGACTTCACGACTTGTCGTAAGAAGCCCGAGACCCGGGGTGGTCTCTATCCTGTTTGGGGATACCCCTGGGTTATGCCCGAGAACTGTCCCACATGGAGTTCTTGTGAGGACATGTTCTGGGCGTGGGTGGAGACTCTCAAGTACTCGCCCACGGAGTTATGGGAACTCCATGAAGATCAGCAGCTGTCCCACATCCTGGACCAGCGTGATCTTCGTGTGAGGTTTGCCCACTTGATCAGCAAGCGTATGCTGCCAAGGGACATCCTGAAGCGCGCGGCTTCTAGCGCTCACGATGAGCGCGGGTACGGTATGTATTCATCATCCGTACCCCGTTCGGGCAAGAAGCCCCGGACTACTTATGAAGCTGCCGCCGCTTCTGTTCCCAGATTGCGACAGCCTTCGGGCAGTCAATCAGGAGCCGTTCAATCGGCTCCCACGAGTTCTCGGAGTGGGCATAACCCCTCCACTTCACGAGGAGCTGTCGCTTCCCGCGACACCGTTGCTCCTGGAGGATCCGCTCCACGTGGAAGTGGACTTCTCCATTCCGGTCAAGCAGGGGCGGAGGTGCCCTCGTACGAGTACGAGTACTCGGCGCCTCCCGAGAGCCACTCTCGTTCGAGTGCTCCGACTGCGGGTCCGACACGGGACCCTGAGGTTGACCGCCTCCGTCAACGTCTCCTCGTGCTTGAGATTGCACTTGGCCTTGGGACTGGCGGTAATGCTGCCGCCCAGGCCGGGAATCAGGGCGAGCTCGCTCGTCTTGCGGGTCGCCTGGACATGGTGGAGCGTGAGGTCGCGAGCCTGCACCTGCGGGTGGACCGCCGGGCCTCTTCGTCCGATCTGGACGAGGCCTTTCGCATGATCCGACGGATCGAGGCTTTGTTGCCACGTCCGGAGCCGCCTGCGGCACACTCCCAGACGTACGCGTATGGTGCGTACCCGGCGTACTCAGCGTACTCGGCGTATGGCGCCGGGGTCCGTTCGTATGGAGCCCCTCCGGCGTACGGTCTTGACCGCAGCCTTGCCGTCCCGACCGAGGCTTGGGTGCCTGCTCCGACGCCCTCGTCGGCGACTGTGACCGGCCCTCGCTTCGAGGAGCTGGGTCAAGGGGGGTCTACGAGTCAGCAACCCCCTGCGGGTCAAAGTACCGCTTAAGACGTCCGACATAGAACGTCGGGTGCGTCGTCATTGACTTTGGAAGGTCGATGGTGTACGACGCACCATGTCTGGCCAGGACTGCAAAAGGTCCGATGAAGCGGTGCTTCAGCTTGTTGCTGCCGACAGAGCTAACAGTGTCTAGAGGTAGGTTCCTCGTGTCTAGTAACACTAAGTCACCAATCTCAAATATACTTAAGTTTCCTCTTCCTTGTTTGTCCGAGTACTCCTTTTGTTTATCTTGGGCCGCTGCCATGGCATCGCGGACCCTGCTGACAATGTTCAGCTTGGTATCCATAAAGGATTCCACCTGTTTCCGCAGCGAAACTGGCCTCACATCCGAGACCTGGGAGGAAAGGGCTTTCCGAGCCTCTCCCCCACTTAGAATAGAGGAGTCAGTGTTTCCTCGAAGAGTAAGAGGCACTCTGGGGTGGCGGAAGCCGTTCAAGTAGAACGGCGTGAACCCCGTGGACGCGTGCACCGCGTTGTTGAGCGCAAACTCAACAACTGGAAGCTGCGTCGACCACGTACGTGGCGCTGCCGCGCACACACTGCGCAGAGTGTCCTCGAGCACTCGATTGACGCGCTCTGTTTGGCCGTCTGTCTGCGGATGATCCGCAGTGGACATCTGCAGACGAGTTCCCAGTAAAGGGAACAGCGTTTTCCAAAACGCAGCAGTGAACCGCGGGTCTCGGTCCGAGACAATCGTCTCCGGGAGACCGTGATAGCGGAACACGCCATCGACGAACAACCTTGCGGTTTGTTCGCCCGTCACAGTGACGGGAACTGGAGCAAGATGTACCATCTTGCTCAGCCGACACACGAACACCAAAATTCCGGTGTTGCCGTGTCCGTCGGCGGGAAGCCCAAAGATGAAGTCAAGACTCATCGACTTCCAACAATCAGCCGGTACGGGCAGGCTCTGTAGTGGAGCCGAAGAGTGCCCTGCGGGTTTAACCCGCTGACATGTTTCACATGTCTTGACGTACCGGGCGACCCACTTATACATGTGGGTCCACCAGAAGGACTGAGAGACCGACAGAAAGGTCTTCTCGCGGCCCAAGTGGCCGCTGGAGGGCGCGTCATGCGCCTCCGCGAGGATGTCGAACTTCAGATCCTCGTCGTTGGGTACGACCACCCGTGGAGGATCAGTGGGCTCCACCCGATAATAGAGGAGGCCCTCCTTCAACTCATATCGGTGGAGCCGTGAGCGCTGTCGCGACGAGAGCCAGTCGGACTTCGCGCTCGTTCCGGCCTTAAGGAACTTGACGATAGGCGCGACAGCCTCATCGTCCCGATACGCCATGCGTATCCGATCATATAGATCCGTTGTCACCCGCGTGATGTGGGCCAACTCATAGTCGGGACGCCTAGAGAGGGCGTCCGCAAGCACGTTGAGCTTGCCCGGCTTGTACTCGACGCGGAAGTTATATTCCGCGAAGAAGGACAGCCACCTCGCCATCCGTTGGGAGAGGTGAGGCGAGTTAGTCGCCGTCCTCAAGGACGCGTGGTCTGTGTAGATCACAAAGGGCGTAGAGCCCAGAAGGTGAACACGGAACTTCACAAGGGCATATTTCATTGCCAGGAGCTCCTTGTCATGGACAGGGTAGTTCCGCTCGGCGGCTTTGAGCTGCCTAGACTGGAATGAGATGACTCGTTCCTGTCCAGCCGTGTCGTCCTGCAGCAATGCACACCCGATGGCGTAATCGGAGGCATCGCAGACGACGCTAAACGGCTTCGTCTCGTCCGGCAGAGCCAGGACAGGGGCCTCTTGGAGACTGGCCTTGATGCTGTCAAAAGCATCCTGGTGCTCTTGCTCCCAGCGCCAGTCGACGTCCTTCTGAAGGAGGCTCGACAAAGGCTTGGCGAAGCCCGCGTACCCAGCGCTGTACTTGTGAAGGTAGTTGGCCAAACCCAACCACTTTCGAAGATCCTTCTGGGATCGGGGCGTCGGCCATGCTGCTATGGCCTTGACCTTGTCTGGGTCAGCCCGAACGCTCACGTTGCTTACGAAGCAACCGAGAACTTTGATCTCTGGTGACGCGAAAACGCACTTGTCGATGTTGGCGTAGAGCTTGTTCGCTCGCATCACGTCCAACACTCGACGGAGGTGTCCTAGATGCACCTCCATGGCCGTCTTGCCTCCCTCGGCACGGCTATGGACGAAAATGTCGTCGAAGTACGTCTGTACGAAGGTACGCAAAGGGCGGAACAATTGCGTCACCAGGCGATTGAACGTCGCCGGGGCGTTAGACAAGCCCTGCGGCATGACGAGCCACTCCCAAAGCATGCCGCTTGGAGTGCTTACCGCGGTGAGCGGGATGTCACTCTCTCGCATCAGGATTTGGTAGTATCCGTCTACCAAATCCAGCGCACTGTACAGTACGCTCCCGGCCATGTTGTTCAACAACACATCCTTTCGTGGGATCGGTGTTTGGGCCGGCACCGTTGCGTTGTTCAGCTTGTTATAAGCGTGAACCAGACGCCACTTTCCGTTCGGCTTACGAACGCAGAAAGTCGGCGTCGAGTGCGGGGATTTCGACTCCCGCACCATGCCTGCCTTCGCTTTCGCGGCGAAGAAGGCATCAATGACCTCGCACTATTCGCGCGGGAGAGGCCATTGCCTCGTGACACAATACTTTGTGCCGGGCTCGAGATCAATCTCGTGCCGTACGCCTCGATCCGGTGGGAGTTGGGTCGGTGGGTGTTTATTCACCACGTCCGCATACTCCGTCACCAAAGGATACACCGGATCCTTGGGGTTCTTGAGAATCTCAGAACCCAAGCGCGCCTGACGCTGCTTGTTCATGTCTTCCAGGACGTTCTCGTCCAAGACAGAGGAGGAGTTCAGCTCCTCCTGAGTGGTCTCAGGTCTCATGAGTACCATCTCAGCGATCTCTCCAGCCTTGAGGTTGGCCAGGAAAGACTCAGCCGTCATTTCCTCGAGGTTCAGTATCTCTGCAACCTCTGGCAACGGTTCCAAGTGGACACCAGATGCCTTGACGGGTAAACCCGTCTCGCTATCGAAGATGTGATAACACTCTTCCACCGGCCTTGTCGGAGGAGCCCGGGCCCTGGACTCCGAGTCGCTTGAAGCGACGTCGATCGGAACGAAGTTCGGATCCGACTTGAGGCGGCGGCGGCGTCTTTGCCGACGGCTTCTGTGACGGGGAGCTTTGCTGCCCACGTCTAGGGATGTCGTCGCTACGACATCCGAGGCACTCGTGGCCTCGTGTGGTACTGTTGTACCCACACAGGAAGCGTGTTCAACGCCTTCCTCTTCAGTTAAGGTCTGGGCGACCGCGTGTGGCACTGTGTTACTCACACAGGAAGCGTATCCGACGTCTTCCTCTTCAGTTATGGTCTGGGCGACCGTGAGTGGAACTCTGTTACCCACTCTGAACACGCTGTTCTCAGTGTTCATGACAGCTGCAGCTGTCTGCGGAGCTAAGTTACCCGCCTGTGGACCAAAGTTACCCACTTGGCCAGCGCCTCTTCTGGGCGCGGCCACCATCAAAACATCCTCGGAGTCGTCATATACGTCGACGACTCCCAAGCATCTGCCGGATGCTTTGGTACCCTGACAGCCCTCGCGGGCGCCCCGGGTCCTGACAGAGGTGGGAACATGACTCACCAATGCTCTGTCGGACTGCGCAGGGCGGCTGGCACCGATTGCCTTGCCTCACCAGTCGATCCAGGGCTCGTGCTTCTTTGCATGCCCAGGATCATATCATATGGATCCATATCGAGAACAGTGAACTGTTCGGGGCTGTCAAAGTCTTCAAACTTGACAGCCAGATCCACTTTGACGTTGGGGACAGTGACGACCTTCCCGTCGGCCAGTCGCACTGACACCGTCCCGTTGCCCTTGCTTTCTCTCAAAGCTTCGGACAACTTGTTGCTGTTACGAGCAACCGTCTGGTGGCGTGCGAAATTCTTCGACGCCCCAGAGTCAATCAAGATTCTAAAGGGATGATCGTATCCTCGTACACATCCGTGTACTACGAGCAACCCGCCGCTGCTCTTTGCCGATTCGAGAGTGCGAAGACTCTCAGGGGCTAAGTCCCCGTGGTACGCGCCACCCGCGCACCCATCACGAAGACTTAGTTCTTCCCCAGTAGGGCGCCCCGCCCCTACTGGTTCCCTGCGTTCCCGTGTCCCCGGGATCCTGGCTTCTGCCAGCAAACCTTGAGGACGGGCTTGGGGAAGGACCGTCTGCGGAGTCTTTCCGCGGGACAGTCGCGCTTGAAGTGGCCCATCTTCTCCCAGCCGAAGCAGCGGATGTCACGCTGTTCGGCGGACCCGAGTTCCATGGGAACTGGTCCGTTGGGGCTTGTTCGACCGGGAGCCGAACAAAGGAACTCCCAGGCCACGCTGAGGCCCGGCGTACGCGCCTGGCGATGGCTGTATTCTTCTTGAAGAGCCACTTGAATCGCCTCTTCAAGGGTGCTTGCCTGCACCCGGAACAGCTGAGTGCGTGCGGGGCCCACTCGAAGGCCGTCCATGAACACAGTCATCTTGATGTGTTCATTGAGTGGGTTTCCCACTAGGGACGCCGTGAGCTCCCGTATCTCTTGCACATACTTGTGCAGTTCGCGTCTTCCTTGTTTACACGCGAGGAAGCGCGAACGCTGGCGGTACTCGTAGTTCGCCGGGAGGAACGCGGCTCGGAGCTGTTCGCACAGCTGAGCCCAGGATGTGAAACATCCAGGGGATGTCGCTTCCCGAGTGTACACCCAACTCTTAGCACGACCGCTAAGGTTGGAGAGTGCAAAAGCAACACGCAGTTGCTCGGTCGAGATCAGAGCCGCGTCCATCGCGAGCTCTACTTCTCGGACCCAGAAGTGAAGGTTCTCGCCTTCCTTCCCTTCATACGGCTTTACCTTCAGCCGTATTGGCTTCGGGTGAGGCGGGTTTGCTTCCGCCGCCGGAGCCTGCAGGTTCTCCCGCACATGCGCGATGAGGCCCTGCTCGTACGCGTCGAATGCATTGACGCGCTCGAGCTGCTCAGCCGGTGTTGATACCACCAGGCTCTGCAGGGCCTCCATCCCGAAGATGCCTGCCATCTTCCGAACCGACTCGAACTGAGAGTCGTTCATATGGGAGAAGTCGTTCCTATCCATGGCAACGAACTTCGGAGGTTCAGGTAGTCTACCCGCGATGGCGTGGATTGACTACAAGTGCTACCAAGTGTGACGGGGTCACACAGCACCTTGCGCTAGAGGAAGTTATCTTCCGAGAGTATACAAACTCTCAGTGAACGGCAGTTCACAGGTCCCCTCTTTAATTAAAGAGAGCGAAGTGACCTAAATAAGGTAGATTGTAAACTGCGTATATTTATAGGTAGGTTAAGTTTGAGGTTAATACAAACTATCAGTTACCTATAGAAATGCAATGTCATTTAACCAATGGTTGGTTTTGAATGACCTTGGTACCTTGTACCAAATATCCCGGAGTATGACATGTCATACTCCTGAAGTGTGAAGTGTCACACTTCATGTAACCAGGGTACACTTAGTGCTACGTACCCCGTTACACGTACCGCGTTCGCTTGTATCCCAAAACAAGCGCCGCTTTCAGCAGGATGGCTTTGCACCCGCGCTTTTTTCGTTGATTTGATGGCACTCGCTATTTTGCCCGACTGAGGTAACATAGCATCGACTTTTATACGTGTACAGATAGTATAGTACGGTTAAATTGGGGTAATGGTAGGACACTAGCGCGTTTGCACTCGTCTGCGGACTTATAGCCGTGGGCCCGCCCCTCTCTTCGCTTGCTGCGCTGCGCTCGGGGGGCGCTGTGTCTGGGATTAGAAATTAATTCCAAGCGAATGTTGCCAAGTACAGTACATGTACCGTCAGCTAAGTCCATTTGATGCATGTTGGGGAGTATAATTGTATAGTCGGTTAGCCAGTCGGGCAAAATACTCACTTCCAATTTTTTTTTGATCCCCCCCCCGGCAATTGGCTCCACAAGAAAAATAACATGGCCGTTTTTTTTTAATGCGCAAACACTTTCACAGGTCAAAAGTGGCCCATGTGTCATTTCGCTAAAGTCGCTTTACCATGTTGCACCGCTCGACTATCTCGCGTATGGGCGCCGCTGTGCGCCGCCTGTCAACGCAGTCACCACCCAATTACCGACGCATGATCCTCGAATCTCGTGCGTACGACGTAGCGGAGCAAACGCCGCTGCAGGAGGCTCCGGCGCTGTCCCATGCGCTGCAGAACCGCGTGTTGCTCAAGCGTGAGGACCTACAGCCCGTTTTCAGCTTCAAAATCCGTGGTGCTTACAACAAAATGGCCAGTTTGACGGACGAGGAGAAGGCAGCTGGTTGTGTGTGCTGTTCGGCCGGCAACCATGCACAGGGCGTAGCGCTCTCGGCGCGCAAACTCGGAATACGTGCGAAGATCGTCATGCCACTGGCCACACCCGATATCAAGGTGAACGCCGTACGTCACCACGGCAAGGATTCCGTGGACATTGTACTGCATGGCAAAACATTTGACGACGCTGCCGCTGAAGCTCATAGACTGGTGGAGGAGGAGAAACTCACAATGATCCTGCCGTTCGACGACCCGTATGTCATCGCTGGACAAGGTACCATTGGCATGGAGATCTTACAACAAACCAGCGGATCTGGAGAGAAACTGGACGCCATCTTCGTTGCCTCAGGAGGAGGTGGTATGCTCGCAGGTATTGCAGCTTGGGTCAAGCAAATTCGCCCAAGTGTCAAGGTGATTGGTGTCGAGGCAGCCGATGCCGCCGGTATGACAGCATCGCTTCAAGCCGGCAAAGTCATTGAACTGGACCATGTCGGACTGTTTGCAGATGGTGCAGCAGTGAAGAAAGTGGGAACCGAGACGTTCCGTGTGTGTCAACAATATGTGGACGAGATGGTGACCGTATCGACGGACGAGATCTGTGCTGCTATCAAGGCGGGTTTTAACGACACTCGTGCGATTCTCGAGCCTGCAGGTGTGTTGTCCATTGCTGGAATGACGCAATACGCCAAGACGCGCGGACTCTCTGGCTGTCAGTTTGTCGCTGTGACGTCTGGCGCTAACATCGACTTCGCTCGACTGCGGTTCGTCTCCGAACGTGCGGATTCGCATGAGAGACTACTTGCAGTAGAGATCGATGAGAATCCAGGTGCCTTTCTACGTCTTAACCGCCGATTAGACGCCGTAGGTGTTCGTATCACTGAGTTTAGCTACCGCTACGCTGACGCGCAGAAGGCACGCATCCATTTGTCATTCCACTCGCCAAGTGCCGAGCACGCTGCCGCTGCTATTCGCGAACTACAAGAGGAGGAGTCTCCGTTAGGTTTCGCACGCGGTGGCGCCTACCAAGTGCTCGACCTGTCCGATAACGAGCTGGCTAAGGTACATACTCGCTACTTGGCTGGCGGTCGAGCACGTGGTGACGTACAAAACGAACGACTGTATCGCTTCGAGTTCCCTGATCGTCCACGTGCTCTAGCGACGTTCTTGGAGGCGCTACAGAGTTCGTGGAACATCAGTCTATTCCACTATCGTAACCACGGCGCTGATGTTGGACGAGTACTTGTGGGTTTCCAGGTTCCGGAAGAAGACCAGGAACGTTTCCAGACGTTCCTGAACCAGTTGGCTTACGTCTTCCACGAAGAAACGGACAACCAAATGTACCAGGAGCTCATGCTCTAATAGAGACAAAATGGTGTGAAACTAAAGTGTCTTGCGTTAACCAGAAGTCGACAGAATGACACTTAAGCTATACGCAGCGATCGAGAAAAAAACCTGATGCGACGTAGCGAATTTCGCTTGACTATTGACTACCTGTAGTCGACTAGATGTAGGACAAGGTCCCTGCATCAGCACAAAAGGGAGACCAACGTTCCGGAATATCAGAACTCTAATCCGAATCCGAGTCCGAATCGTTCAGGAGGTCATACACATTGGCTGTCTTTGCTGCCGCCGGAGCCGAGATCTTCGTCGTAGGAGGTTCCGAACGCTTCGGACGGGGATCCGCCTTCCGTGCCGGAGCGTTCTCCTTGCCACGACCACGACCACCGTCAGTCGGACGACGGTCGCCACGTCCACGTCCACGTCCGCCACGACCTTCATCGCGACTGCTCTTGCGAGCCAGCACCTTAGTTTCTGCCTCCGCCTTAGCCTTGACCTTAGCCTCCTTAGCCTTCGCCTTGGCCTCTTTCTCCTCCTTAACCTTGGCCTTACGTTCAAGGTCGAGCGCTTTCTTACGCTCTTGATAAGCACTCTCGTCACGGGGCTTGGCCTCTCCGAAGATGCTTGGCTTGTGAGCATCGGAGTCTTTCTTTTCGGACGAAGTGCGTGGCAACAACGTCAGACGTTGACGTTCACGAGGAGTTTCGTTCCTTTCACTGTATATCGTATAGCACCCTTCAGTAATTATTTAAGTGGGAATGAATGCTGTACAATCACTCACCGACGGTCATTGGAGCGATCGTTGCGCTTGTCGAAGCGGCCACTGTCACGGGGCTTGCGCTCGCGGTCCAATGCCACGTCCATCTTGACATGACGACCATCCAATCGTTGGCCATCGAGGTCAAGCGCCTGTACCAGTTGCTCCCTCTCATCGAACTCGACGTAGGCGATACCTTTGAGACGATTGTCGTGGTCACGAGGAAAGCGGATGTCTCGGATACCCTGCGCGCCAATAAAGTCCGCCAGATCGTCCTCCGTCAGACGGAACGACAAGTTGCCAACGAAAAGCTGCAGTATGGCGGCAATAATCGTTAGTTTTGCCATCAACCCATCTCCACACACACATAAACCGATCTGACCTTCCATGGACCGACGTCCGGGACGGGATTCTTGGGACGTTCCTCGCGGGAATCACGACGACGCTCTTCGTAGCCTCCGCGGCGATCTTCGTATCCTCTGCGGCGGTCTTCGTGGCTTCCTCGACGGTCACCGTGGCCACCACCACGGTCGTCGTTGCGGTCGTTGTACCCACGAGGCGCTGGTTTATTGGAAAGAGTGCACGTCAGACTCTGGCGGTGGAGACGTAGTCATCGAGTCTAATTATTACCATCGCGCTGCTGCTCGTGGTGTTGGATTTCCTCCTCTTCGATGGGTTGCGGCGCCTCCGTCCTGTCGACAGCGAGTTAAAGGTTAATGATGCGTGTTAATGGAGCAAGTGCAGCGACTTACGACGCAATCTTGGGGGCTGCGGGCAGAGGCTGGATGTCCATGTCGTCGTCATCGGCCCAGGAGCTGGTGCCGCCACCGCGCGCGAATAAGTTCTTCGCCATCGTGCTGCTCTCTCTTGCTTGTCTTGCTCGTTGATTTGTTCCCTCCTTGGAGTGAAATGGCGTATCAAAAAGGGGAGGGAGGTCGTATATATGAAAATACAAGAACAAATAGTTGCTAAATTAATTTGACGAGACACCCCTTCTTTAAAACAGAAAATAATTTGAGGTTACCGGTGCCTTCTATGACGCTTCATGTAGCACCAAAAAAGCTGCTGTGTTGGTACTGGACCACTGGACTTGACAGACATAATGGCAGTCCTAACGAAGAGAAGCAGTTGCTATGTCTATGAGTGGAGATCCTAAAAAAAAAAGCAAAGGCCCAGGCGTCCGTGTGCCGAGCTGAAAATTTTTAGAAAAACATGTAAAGAAAGTGTAGTAACTTGAGCATCGCGTTCATGAGTAATTCCGCTTGGTGTTAACAATGCTAGCAACAGGATAAAGTGGTAGCTAGGGTATGATCTCTACTTTGCGAATCCTTTTGCTGGCCAGGTTTCGACCGGTAATTGGGACTCGTCTCTACTTTGGCAAAAAATACTAAGTACTATGTAGTAGTTACTGCTAAGACGCATGCACGTACACGTTGTGATCGCTTTGAAGCATATCGCGTGCTGGATAGATAAGTTTCTCGTTTAAGATCTACCTGAGTAAATCGTCCTTCAAGTGTGCTATTAATACTTCTTGTCGCTACTTGACCACAAAGATGTTTTTGCCTATGGCCCTGTTACGCTGCAAAGTTTTTTTTTCCTATGCCCCTGTTACATTGCATCTCTCGCATCTCTGTCTGGAGCCTGGAGGAAAATGCCTTACGTAAGCAGCGTTTGAAGATTCGAAACGCATGGAGATTGTAGTCATCGCTATCCATTCTGGATAATTTATTAACAGTATTCAACGCGCTCATTTTTTTCAATCGAATAAAAAACGCATTGCAACTTACGACCCCGACCTATTACTTAACTGATACGAGTTTTTATTTCAGTTAGTAACTCTTCACACCCCACCACCAATCAAAGTGGCCAATCACATCCTGGAACGGCGTGGCAATTGACCAGACACAGCATAACCAGTCGACGTCAGGTAGCAATGGCAGGCGGCGGCAAGATCATCAAGAACACTGCCGGTAAGCAGGCTCTGCGTGCCAACAAGAAGGTTTCCAAGCAGGCTTCCAAACAGAGCCGTAAGGTGACGAGTGTGGCTAAACCCAAGCGTTTGAAGGCCCATGTGCAACGTGCCATCAAGGCAAAAGAGCCTAAACTCGTGGAAAACACTAAGAACCTGCTAGTGATGCGTGGCAACAAGACCAATGAGGAGGTCAACGAGCTACTGCGTGACTTGCGCATGATCAAGGCACCATTTGCCAAGTTTATGGGCAAGAAGAACGACATCCACGTCTTCGACGACGAGAACAAGGTGGAGTTTCTCACGCAGAAGAACGACGCCAGTCTCTTTCTCATTGGTAGTAGCACCAAGAAGCGCCCGAACAATCTCGTGTTTGGTCGCACCTTCGACGGTCACATCTTGGACGTCATGGAGTTCGGTTTCTCCAACTTTAAGTCCATTAGTGGCTTCAAATGCAAGAGCAAGAAAGCCCCTGGCTCTAAGCCTAGCTTTGTCTTCACTGGAGACCAATGGGAGAGCGTCGAAGCCTTCATGAAGCTTAAAAACATCCTGCTAGACACGTTCCGTGGCACGATTGTGCGGAGTGTGAACGTCAAGGGGCTGGACCACGTTATTGTGTGTACGGCTTGGAAGGAGAAGGTCTTTTTCCGCTCATACTCGATCGACTTCAAGAAGGGCGACGAGTCCCACCCACGTGTGGAGCTGGACGAGATGGGTCCGCGCTTCGATCTGGACTTCCGTCGCACGAAATTCGCGTCAGCTGACTTGATGAAGGTCGCTACCAAGAAGCCCAAGGGTTTGGCACCCAAGAAGATTAAGAACATCTCTCGCGACGAGCTCACGGGCGACAAACTGGGCCGTATTCACATGGATCACCAGGATATTTACTCGATGCAGAGCCGCCGGGTCAAGGCCTTGCGTAAGACGCCCGCCGACCTCAAGAAGAGCAACACCGAGGACGCCGGAGACATTGAGATGGAAGACTAATGTACACATCATGACTAGCTTTTAGACGAACAAAGGCCTTTGACTTTTTGAGTTTTTACAAACAGCGCACAAATTGCGAAACTTGTTCATGTTTACAGTCGGTAGTTGCATGCACCAAATGCCCGATTTTGGCAATAATTGAGGGTTTGTTGCACCAAAATGGTCACTATCGATCCTACTGCAACAACTTGGTCAAGTGGTCGAAGTCCGTTACGAAAAGATCAGCTCCTTCCTTTACGACGTCACGGGTGACGATGCCTCCGAAACCTACAAACAGGTCGGCAGGTGGGCGAGCCTGGAGATCCGTAACACCGTCGCCGACCATGGCGATCTTCTCGAAGCCGTGGATCCGCTTAATGCTGGAAGTGATTAAAACACCATGTCAACGACAACTAGATAGCTGCAGGTAATTTAAGGCAGCAACGTACACGTCAATAGCCTGGGCTTTGCCTCCGTCACGTGACGTGAGCTCCGCATCGTCGAAGCCGCTGTAGTTTCCGTCGTCGTCGAAGAAGATGGAGTTTGCGTAAATGCTGGACAAAGGGATACCCACCTCCTCGGCGACAGGCTCAATCATGAGGCGGAAGCCACCAGATACAAGGAACACGGCAATGCCCTTCTCCTGCAGCGTCTTCATGAGCTTCTTGATTCCTGCAAGTACATTATTAGCTCATTGGACGAGGTATTTAGCACTTCGCGCTTTATACCTGGTGTGAACTTGGGCGGGTGCTGCTTCAAGCAGTCCTGGATATCTTGCCTCGACGGCTTGATAATGTCCAGCCGGGCTGCAAGTGCGTCTTCAAACTTGACGTTTCCATTCATCGCCCTGTAGTAAGCAAGACGAGTGAGTGCTGTCACTTGGGCCTTATTTCATTCGCTAAGACTTACTTGGTGGTCCACTCCTTGACAGCCTGACCAGCACCGCAGTGCTCAGCGAGCACGTCAATGCCCTCGTCCTCGCACACAGTGCTGTCGACGTCAAAGCACACAGCACCCACAGAGCGCCAGATCTCGCTCGGAGTCTCAGGCTGCGGGTTTGTGAAGCGCTCCAACACGGATAGGGCGCGTGTGTGGTGCTAATTCGTGAAAATCATAGATCATGCACAAGACGACGAGTTAGTTCGATGGTGTTCTGACAAAAGCTGAGCTCTGCAGTACCTCCACCCCGTGTGCAAGGTCTTTTAATACCAGGAGCAGAGCAGAACGAGAGAGCGAATGCTAGGACGGGACACGAATGGACACTGCATTTCCACTTACCGGTACAGCTACGCAGCGGGTGAGTTTGGTCAAGCGGTGAGCGAGCATTGCGATCAGGGAGGTCGAAGTTGTGGGTGCCGGTTGATTTGGTGATTGAGCGAACCAACACGCGATTGTGAGCTTAGCCCGTGCGGTGTAAAGTTATGTAAGCACTGTGAAATAAGTTCTGACAAACCTTTGGTGCCTGTAGCTTGCGGGCAAGATGTTGCCTTTTTTGTGACGAGCAAAGCTCAGCTGGGAGCCATGTCTCATAGATTATTGCTGGACACAGAGTCTGACTTCCTTCTGTGAGAAAATCGTCCGTCGTTGAGTTCGCCATCGAAACGGTATCAAGACAATTTCGATGAGCTTTTACGTTGCTGGCAACAGTTGAACCAATACTGTTCATGCAATTGGGTATTGTTGGCAAGAGGCACTTGCAACTGAAAAGAAAGAAGGTATTGTTTTGGAAGAGAGCGTTCAATTTATTTTTGCAATGTGCAATAGTTCTACAGCAAACGCCTTCATACTCCAACATGCAAAACATATCCGATAATACATGCTAGTGGGAGGCAACTTGCTGCTCCCACTCGGCGATGTTCTTCTCGATCCCATTCACGAGTTCGTTCACATCCAACCACGGGATGTTGTTTAGTGTCACCACAGCTGGAAGTGCCATTTTCCTCAGGAAACACACCTGGCTGCACAGGAAACCCTCGAACGTCCACTGGTCACGGAAGCAGAACGACGGGCTCACACCTCTGTGCTCACGGGCGTCCAGCTCACCCTGCTTGTAGTGCTCATCATTTAGACGGAACACCCACTTCTGGTGGTTCGCGAACGGCTTCATCGTCTGACTGATGTCGCTCACGTGCATGGCAATACGAAGAGCGCGAACCTGCAGACTCTGCGGCAGCACCGTGCCTTCCTCCTCGAGCATCTTCCACTCCTCAGGCGTCGTACCGTTGATCTCAGCGAGCAGCTCTGGCTGATAAATAAGAGCTGTTGCCGATATCGTTTCACGGACGACTTCGAGTATTTGTTCTTTGTGGGCCGGCGACATCTTCGTCAAAACGTCATACTTGGGGTCCACTACTGCCCTTAGAGCCAGGTCCATGTGCTTCGACTCCATCGGAGCCTTTGTGGGGTATTTCTGCGCAATTGGGTGGCTGGTTTTAATCAGAAAATCGTTGGTCAAGCCAACGTGCTCCACGTCATGCATCACTGCAGCCAGCAATGCACCAATCTGATTGTGTTGAGAAATTTTCTCACCCAGACTCGTGTTCCATAGCATCATAAAGAGCGTGTGCATCACATCAGCGGCGTGGGTGGCATTGTGGAACGGCATGTTGCCGTCGTATCGTTCCTGAATATGGCGCAAGAAGCTCGGCAGAACACTGAGATCCACGTATTCTTCGCCACAATCAATACTCTCAAAGATCAACGTGCCCACGAACACGACGACGTTGCCTGGCATGAACTCCTCCAGAGCAATCACGTCCAGTTCGGGAGTACCGAACGACGACTTGATGATGTGAACAACCTGGTCAACGAATTGATCCGGCACTTCGCAGCGCGCACAAATTTGACGGATTTCCGAGTCGCAGAAAATTTCACTCGGGTGACCACGTTTCCTGGATGGAGGGGTGGCCGTCATCATCTCGTGCAAATCTCCAAAGCTCAGACATTCCTCCTCATCAATATCGTCCCAAGAGAGCGTGGTTTGGTGTTCCCCACTGCTATGTCTGGATACAATGACATTGAGCTTGGTTCGCATAGCTGCCGGGGTCGGTACGGACCTCCGGTAATACGCCTGGGTAAGACGTGCGCGGTCGAAGGCCATACTACGACGCCGAATGCCAGCCGAGACCGACTTTAAATAAGAGGCCAGAGTCTTGATCTTGGCCTCAATCGCGCCCGTTGTCGGTAGTCTGCTGTTGCTCGCCATCGACGACGTCGTCTGCTTATCGTACACGTAGTCGTTTCCGCCCATGGGGCTTGCACGCACGTCCGCCGCCGTCTTGGTCACTGGGATGTGCATCTCGCTGCCAAGCTTGAGCTCAAACTTGCAGCTGTCCATGTCGTCGTCCACGGGCGTGGGGTCCTCGGGGTGTGACTCGAACAAGTAGCACGGACTGCCGCTACTGGAGGCGGTAGACGCCAGCGACGAAGATGACGATGACGACGATGAAGCGGCGGGCGTAGATGTGAAAGAAGAGGAAGACACCTGGGGTTTACGGGCTAAGAGGTGATCCATGGATCGAGTCATGAAGGCTCGGGGCTTTGACAGTATTCGTGTGTTGCTGTGGACTTCACTTGACAGAAGCAAATCCGACCTGCACCTGTTTCTCTGAGTGTATTTACTAGAACTACCGCCGACGAACGTTTCCGTTCACCGAAGCCGCCCACTCTCCGTGATTCCCACTAACCTGCTTTCGTTGTTTTACTCGTCCCCGCAAGACTGTTAATGGCACGGAAGACCCATTGTTCCTGAGCCCACGCGGCCGGAAAACGCGCACGGCTCTCCACCACTTTCTGGGCAGCTTGAAAGTGTCTCACCAGCGGAAGCGAGGGGGCGCCGGAGATGCTAGTCCGTAACGCTTCAAGTCATAATAAAGAGGCTTGGTACACAATGCTTCAGACCATGATACCTGAGTATAGAAACCTATTTTCTCGTCGCGTGAAACGTTTTGGGACAATTGTGGCGTGGCGTTTTGACTAGAGTTGACTATGGTCAAGGGTGCGTTTGGAGCAGCTCAAGTCGCTTGACTTGCGAGGCGCCTTCGTCGCTCTAAATTCGGTGGCAAGTTGCCACTGGCAACGCGGAACATTGGTGGTGGAGAACGTGCTCCTTATCATATTCCTTGCCCCGACAGACAAAAGCTGCAGCACGCCATTGCCCTTCTGCTTCGCGTGCTCGAGTCGAGCCAGAGGGAGGGTTTTGGTACTGCTTCTTTTTTTCGCGGCGTCAAAACTGCAACGTGTGCTAATGGCAAGGATATTGTGCCAGGCAAGTTGCTTCATGCTGCGCTAGCACTGCTATTTAATAGGATACATGTGCCGGAGTGCAAGTGGCAAGGAGGCCGCCCACTGGTTCGCAGACGCCGATCGAATGGCCGCAATTGAACACGTGCTGAGTGCCAGCGGAAACGCTGGCGGCAGCCGCGTCTGCCTGAGCCATGAGGTGAATCCATCCGAGCGAAGCAGAACCGGTCCGCTGCCGACGAAAACGTGGCGGCAAACCGCGGTACGTACCAGCCGTGATCGCTGGGATCGCGTACGGACAGGCGAGGTGGCTGTATTGCTCGCGAGGAGAGGCTCCTGAGTTGAGTGTGAGCATGACCAGACTTTGCTGATATCGCAGGGTGAACATGCACTCGTAATTTTACCTTCAAGGTAACCTTGGTACAGTACATGTACTTGTCGAACTTGCAAGCTCTGATCGACATACACCTGGAGCGGTCCCTCCTTAAACCGATAAAAGGGGGATGGGTAATCTGTACTGAACAGGTTCAACAATGCATCTGCACAAGAGCATCGGCTCGCAGGGCTTTTCTCCATCATCGCCCTCCAGCGTCGACGAGAAGTACAGTGACGTTTGCTTCTTCATGTATTTCAGGTCAATTTTTACGTGTGGCTCATGAAATGCATGTATCAACACTGTTGATTCAACAGTACATGTACATGCACGCAAATACAAGCTTGAGTTGCACCAAACAACTCATGCTACAATACTGTAGCACAACATGAAGTTCACGAATTAGTCAACGACTACACCTCTGTACTCCATCACGCAGTTAATATTTACATGTAATGGCTCAATTAAAGATTGATTATAAACGCCTCAACATCAAGGATGTGCATGTACGACTCGAGGGCGACAGGCATCGCTAAATTTCTTGAACGACGTTACCGCAACACAGCGGCGACAAGACGACAGCTCTTACGGCAACACATCAGCCCCTTATGACACAAGGAACAACATAAAAAATGTGTCAAAGCAACACAGCTCGGTAAACTATTATCCGGGGTCTGATACATTACCGTTATTGTCAAAGTTACCACTCCGCTGATTCACAAGATTTACATGATAGGTGCTCATTCATCGTTTGAAAAAAAAAGACTCGCAGTGACCAAGCCAACGTGGGTTCCATGAACGATTCAGCTAGCACCGACCGGACGCCTTCAACTGGCGACGAGGTCCCCCGACGCAATCCCCGCCACAAGGAGCGGATGTGCAAGGAGCTGCTGCGGTCTCGACTGCAGCAAATCGAGCTACTGGGGGAAAAGCTCAAACGACCTTCCGAGTTTTCGCTAAAGCTGATGGATCTCCATGAGGAGATTGCTGTTATACTCGCACGCGAAAAGCAAGATACAATGCGTCTAGCAGCTGCGACTGGGGCTTCTGCTCACGACGTCGGATACGTTGTATCGTATGCTGTGGCGCTCGAGGAGTGCTGCAGTATTTTGCTGGATCAGGCTTTGTAAACGAATTGCAAAAGCGATAAAGGAGGCATAAGGAGGTTTACGTAGCAAAGTTAAGACGACAAACGAATGCATATTATATTTTAAACGCTGAAAACAGCTCCTGACCGGTCGCTTCTACCGCTTTCGCTCGCTTATTTGACTTCGTAGTCACGCCTGGTTGCATCAAAATTATCCACATGATACGCAGTCGCATGATGGCGACATCGTCTTGTGTGACGGTTGCGCTAGCAAAAGCGGTGCTATCCTTGAGTACTGCATATGTTTGGGCGATACACAACACCCCGCATGAAGATCCACCTGGCTGTGTTGGCGCATTGAGCCACACGCCATTTTCGACAACAGGAAAATCAGTAGCTTGCATGGTCTCATGATGCCAGTTCCGTAAAAATTTAGCCATTGTGTCCTGGAAAATGGCTTCCATTGTTGCTAGAAATTCCGTCCCACACAAGGTTCGTAATAGTACGGTGTGATGCTGGGCGTTTCCTGTTGATAAGCCAGTCTAACAATGATGACGCCCCAGTGATTTCCGTTTAGGTGAACTGGCAACACCACATAATGGAATGACGATATTCGTGTCTTCGGAGGGCTTGGGCATCCCATCGTCGGAGCGAACGAACTCAGTGCGTAGCTGTCACCAAGCGCACCGCAGATGCAGCGAATAGTCAAGTCAATCACGAGGTCGTTTAACATTCGAGTCCGGGCCAGGCTTCCCACCATATTGTCCACCCTGATAGAGCACGCAGCACTCGTAAGCCTAAATTCCGAGTTAAGGCAAGATCCGCGCAGAATATTTGCCGCTTCGTTCGCCAAAGCTTTGTGTTTCTCGCCCGCTTCGGAAGGGAATAATACTTCCGAATCAGTCTCTTCGTCAAACAACAGTGGCGTATCGAGCATTGTTTCTTACTTAGTGTATTTTGCGCAAATGCTGTAGAACTCTTTCATTCGGTACACAGCCCCGCTAGACATACAATCCAAAGGGTGCAACACAAGAAACAACACAAAACGTAAGCAACACAAGAAACAACACAAAAATGTTAGCAACACAAGAAACAACACAATCTGATGAGCAGCATTGCGAAGTACGAACTTGGTGAACTTCGGAGTTCCGCCCGAGAAGAAAGCTACGATCTCCTTAGTGGTTTCTTCCGAGTGCTCCGAGTCGGAATTATTGGCGAAATATTTGGGATTGGATCGCTTGTTCTTCTCTTCTTGTATAACTGCACTCAGCTTTGTCACCAGGTGCTTGGGCACAACGAAGTTGTAGTCGAAGTGTTCTGTTCGCACGTAGGCTTGTTGACTGCGCGCAGCCCGTGCGCCGATGAAGTCGTCCGTCATGGCAGTAGGGTAAGCTGCCATAATTGATCGGACGTACTCGACGTCATTTGTATTGTTTGCCCACTCGAGTACTCGTGAAAGTACTGGTGTGCTTTTGTCTGAGAGTGTAATAGCTGCTAGTCGTTGCGGCTTCGCCACCGCTTTTATCCGCGCCTGTGTCACCTTCTTTCGTTAATTGTGCCGGGGCTTAGCTTTGGGTAGCTGAAGTACTTCAATCTTGTCGTTTTTTCGCGCAGGTGGTTTTGAAACAGCCTTTGCCTTTGTTTGTACAATTTCCTTTGTCAGTAGCATTTTTTGCTTAGGCGGCGTAGACCCCGACTCAGACGAATCCAGTTTTGTCTCCCACGTTTGCGCCAAAGTTAGGAGCTTGGTGTTGCAGCTTGTGCTGGTTGATTTACGGCTTGTGGTGCTTGTTTTGGAATCCGAATTCACGAAATGTTGTCGCTCGTGGTCATGGGGGGGGCTGTACATTGCCTCCCGCAACTAGTAGAGCGTGTTCAGCTTGCTCCATGTCACAAATCATTGCCATTGTGTCGATGAGATCAGCTGGATCAATGTCAAATTCTGTATCACTCTCGTTAGCATCACCAAGAGCCGCAGTATCGTCCGTGCTATCGTCGGGCATCGTTGTCGCATCTGACGTGTATGTTGGTAGCTTTTGCATGCCATTGCGAGCTATCTCTTTCCACGAAGCAGTGCTGGGTAGAATGCTGGACTTGTTAATCCGGCAAGGTACTCAATTACTGGCTCGAACGCAGCTTTTGCATAGCAGTACTTCTCTTCCGATGATAACACCACCACATTTGCCTGTTCACGTCGCCTCAGCTTAACATATACAACCCGCGGCTTTTTAGTCCGAGATCGCAGTCCACTCCGCTCAACCCCACACGGCGGTGGTACTTCCGGGCTCACACCTTGTGTTGCCGAAACATCGTCTTGTGTTGCTTTCCATACTTCTTGTGTTGTTTCGGTTTCTTGCTCTGTTTCGTAAAATTTACTGACGTCGGATGGCTGCGTAGCGCCGTCGTGGGAGATGCATTGACCCGCATCTTTCATCGCTGCCTGCACTGTCTGGAGCATGCATACACCATCTGCAAATTCTTGATCCATATTCGCCATCGCCAGCATATCCCAGCGCTTAGGTATAGTTGATACTGGCAGACTCTCAAATTGATGAACATTGGCAGCGATGTACATCCAATGTTGACATGGTAGATTGTAGCTGCAGTAGAACAGACACGAACATGACCACGTGAGAGTCGTTGCATTGATGTGTATGCTCCCTCGTTCGCACTTCCCACTCACCAACATCAGAACCACGCTTAATGCATGTTGTCGCAGCACTGAATACCATAAAGTAGTCCCATTGCGTGCGTACGCTAGCCAGCATTGTGTCACTCAGGTGCTTTGACACTAGAGAGAGAAGTCCGGGAACGCCATCGGGCT